ATTGTCAGTATGCTGTCCGAAGACCTGGAGCGAAAACACAGGCCGAACCCTCTCCCCTCTCTACCAGTAAAGTAAACGGTTGAGCTAGCGGGGTATAATTTCATGAGACAAAATATGAACGGAATATCCGTTAACGTAGAAAAACCCGTTTACGTTGCACTACCACTACACTTACTTAGTTGTCTCATTGGCAATCATACCACATCTCCTTATTCATATATAGTGTCTGGTTGGGATTGTGTTTTTTTTTCGAGTTAATCGGTCCGCTTTTTAGAGTGTAGACCGTTTTTTTCGAATGAAATATCATACGATAAAAAAGATTTGCTCTTATTTCGCTAGTATATCAGTGTTATTAAAAGATGATGAACTTATTTTAATGTAATCCAAGTTTTGAACACAAACTACGCATGATTATCAACCAATTTATTCAAATGTCAGGGTTTTTTTTTCGAATACTAGAGTCGTTATATTTTAAAGAAAATATGATCATGAAATAAGGTATTCCGGACCTTTAAAATTGAGAATTATTTTTATTACTTTATTTTTGTGAAAGACAGTAACTAACAGATTTTCATTAAAAGCTCGACAAACATATATCTATAATGTTCATCAATTTTAACCCTTTTTTGGTGTAATGCAAATTTTCTGTGAGTACATTTTACCATAATGTCGCAGTATTATAGAACCATAACGGACAATAAAAATAACGACAGAAGACTTGCAATTTTTTTATGCTTTTTTAGCATATATACTTTTTATGCTAGCTTTGTTTTTTAGTTTGCAAAAATTTTATGTTTCTTCTTTATTATTTGTCATTTTAAACTTTAATACGACGGGTGTCAGATGTAGAGCAGGATCTGATAACCCTTCCAGAGCACCCGAGATCAACCCCGGTTTATGGTGGGGTTCGTGTTGCTTATAGTCTTCAGTTTCTATTATGTGCTTTGTTTAATGTTGTTTGTTTTAATTAGTTTTTCGTTTTTTGCCATGACGTTGTCTGTCTGTCATCTACTCATGAATTTAAATATCCTTTTGGTATCTTCCGCCTCTCTTTTCAAAGTTTAATTGCTACAAAACTTAAGCTTCAATGAAATCTATTAAACATATCTAAATTGAACCAAAATGGTAAAACAATCTGTCAATTGTAAAAATAAAAAAAGACACCAAAGGATAATAAAAATCATATAAATTCTATAAACAGACAAATCCAAAGCTAGAACGACAAATGTCGAAAAGACAAACAATACTATCAAAACATACAGAAAACTGAGCAAAACGAACCCTTACACAAAACTCATGGTGGATTCAAGTCCTCATAAGGAGTCATCAGTTCCTGCTTCAGTAGCAAAACCCGACATGTTGAATTAATTGAGGCGTGTAATAACTGGTATCAAATATGAAAATTGCATGGATGTCTTATTCCAGTTTTTTAATTGTTTCTGTTTCAATAATCCCCAATTATTATGAACATGGAACGATTTAGAACTAGATATATTGTGTAGACACGTGGATATTGTTGAATACTGGCTGTTGCCCTCAAGATGCTCTCTTGTAAAATTTTCGTTAGGTTGCTATCACATTGACGTTTATGACTCCTTTTATTTATAGAAACAATATATCCTTGTATATTATAAAAAAAAAAAAAATCATGGATATTCAATTCTAGAATGTTGCTATCGTCTATTCGGTTATCATAAGCTGCTAGTGGAAATATTAAGCTCTTGTGATGCCTGTTGTCATTTAAGACTTTGTAAAATAAGAAATAAATTATACAAGTAAGCTGTCAATTTTTTGTTGTTACTGAACGATCAAGTATTGCATATGCCAGATCGGATTCATCTTCACAACAATAATATTTGTACACTGTTCTTCTTTTACATCACAGGATCCATAAAAAAATTTCTATGAAATTGTAAATGAAAAAAAATTAGTTTCCGTAAAGAAAAAACACATAAATGCAAGCTTCCCATGGATATAAACCAAACAACATATACAAATGGATGACAATTGTTGGTGTATATACAACATTATCAAACTCGTTTAAAACAATTTTTTCTGTATGTGCTTCTTGTATTTGTTTTTAAAAAGTATAAAGTCGTTCAGTGGTTGTCGTTTGTTGGTGTGGTTCATAAGTGTTTCTCGTTTCTCGTTTTTATATAGATTAGACCGTTGGTTTTCGTGTTTGAATTGTTTTACACTAGTTAATTTGGAACCCTTTATATCTTGCTGTTTGTTATGAGCCAAGGCTCCGTATTGAAGACTGTACTTTGACATATAATTGTTTACTTTTTATACATTGTGACTTGGATGAGAGTTGTCTCATTGGCACTCATACCACATCTTCTTATTTATATTTATAAAAATTTCATGTTTTTGTAACTTACATGCATTATACATTCAAATGTTAATCTATAGAAATATTGTTTATTCACTCCATAAAACCTTGACGCTACTAGAAAAAAACCCAAACTGTTTCGAAAAACCTGGACATATTAAACTTAATTTGATCTCAAATTAACCTTATTCATCCAAATACAAATATTTCTGTAAAGTATCTGTAACTGTAAGGATCTATAGATTCTATCAACGTATTTTCCATTATTTGTGCATTCGACTGTGTATCAAAATGGTTTTATTTCACATTTTGGAATAACAGTATTCTAAAGATATATTCGACTTGTAAATAACTTCAAATAACGTGTAGTTAATATTATATTTTTACCACATATACTTAATTACCTATTATATTTATTTCAAGCTAGGGTTTCATGTCCTTCAAGAATATGCCAACGGTTTCTGTTTGTTTACATTTTGCATCATATTCCGTCAAAAAAAAAAAACGGTCACACTCCAAAAGATCCGATCAAGATTCGATCAATTGACCCGGAAAAAAACACGTCCACAATCGAACACTATACGAGAAGAGAAATGACATACAACACAAATGAGTTATTGGGGATATAATTATACTCGGGTCTGTGTAATTTCAACCGGTTGAAGGAACTGATTAAGATTGAAATTAATTTCTTCTTGTTGTCTGCCCATAGATAGCCTTTTCAATAGTCGTCTGGCGCGAAAAGAACGATAACTCAATTTTAGAATTTAATATTTTCGGAGACGGTCAATTTCCGGAATTACATGCTTTATCATCACGGTTTTTTCTTTGGCCGTCGATGACGACACTATTGCTGCATTCTTTTATAATAAGGTATATTTAACAAGACATTATTATCAATGTATTATCGTGGTATCAATATATGTTAGCAATGTTAGATAACTGAATTAATTGTTATTTTGGCAAGGACAATTCATCACTTCCCCTGAAAACATGATTTTGTACAAGTTCACTTATCGGCATCACCGGGCGGCAAAGCAGATCAATTTCCTGATGATTTTTACTACGGCATTCTGATTTTTATTAATTGCTACATATTACCGCTTTTTTTAAATCAATTTTTGTTTATATTATCAACAAAAAGAGTAACATACTAGGTCGAGTTGTCGTTCGTAGTGTATAGTTTGTTCCAAACCAGTGTTTGTTTCTGGTATAGGTTGGCAGTTGTTAATTAACAATAAAGTTGTTGCAACTAAAACACATGTTATCTTCAGTGTGTGTGTTTTTTTTTCTGATTAGTAATTGTTTATAAAAACAAATTGTTTCTAAATACATTTGGCAGATAGGATTATCATGTAATTGTTATTTCCCTTGTTTAAAAATAGAAATTGCGTGTTTCTATATTTAACGATTTACATGACACTTATTCAGTACATGTTTGTTAAATTAAATAGATATTGCTATTTTGAATTCATTTGTTAAAGATATTTATTAAGGTTCTAAAGTTTAGTATTTGCATCCTTGCTAATCATTTATAACCTTCGTTGAAAGACTTAATCATTTTATATAAGTTGTTTGGAATTATAATATCTAATTAATCATTCATTACATTCAGTCACGTCTCAGTCATTACAACTGAACGGACGTGCTGGGTCAGCTCTCCTTTACCCGCTATCTTCGATGAGGGTTTATTGTTAGATGGATCAACGACTTACTACTTTCGATGACAGAAACCAATCCAACGTTGTACAGACTACGTTAGGCTATAATCCGCGTAGGGCTAATTCCCGCGTCAACATACACTCCAAAACCCATTATGGATGGGGGAGTGGTATGCCGAGTGACGTCCGAGGGCTGTATCCTAGGTGTTAGATGATGGACCACCATTTCACTGTCTCACGACTTTGGTCCTGATAATGCTTCCTGTCATCGTTAATACTACGTCCGAGACTCATCTACCAGTACTCCATCATCGAGGTTAGCGGGCTGCCAAGCTGACCAATCTGGCCCTGAAAACAGCCGTTGTGAAGACATAACATCAAAATAGTCAACAAAAGAAAAACCAAAACAACTCACAAAACCAAGATGGCGGCCTACCAAAATGGCGTCCTCCACCTGTTCCTGACCGATGGCACAAAATTATTTAAACGCTCACCAAACGCCTTCGGGCACCGAGCCGACCGTGCGAGGGATGTATATCCAGTCAAGGTCGTTAAAAACTTCCATTTGTTTGTGATCTAATTAATCTGGTTTGCGCTAACCCAGTTTTAATTAGCGTGGGGCGTTTGTCTTCCTGCGGACAGCGTTCCAGTGAACTAGCACTATAAAGTCCTCAATATAAGTAGGCTAGCACAAAGCAGTCAAAATTATACATACATCCATTGGTTTTTTTATTTATTTTATTTTCGGTTTATTTATTTATCTTTTTTTTGTACATACAAAACCTTTTACTAATAATTTTTGCAAAATTCACATACACATATTTAGGCCTATTTCGATTCATACAAAATATTTGGCAACTAAATTCACATACACAATTTGGCAAAACAAATTTATCTGCTGTTTACTTGGCTGCTGGTGTACCAGGACAACGTTGCTGCCGGTCACTGCCGTTTGCTTTGCCTAGCTTTCCTCCTATTCCTACTTTTGGTGGCTTTTTTTTAAATTCTCATTTTTATGTTCTTTTATTTTATTTAAGTTCTATTTCATTCATTTACTCATCAAATTATTTATTTTTTAATTATTCTAAACTTCAAATTTTTCTATATTTATCACTCAAATTATTCAATTACCCTATGGTAAAAACAAATTATTTAAATGCCCAAAAAGGCACAAGCCAGGTCCGACCGTGCGAGGGCTGTATAGCCAGTCAAGGTCGTTAAAAACTCCCATCATCATCATCATATCTAATTAAATTCTTTAAAAACATTTAAAGGCGCTCTGCAGGCCTGACTAGGCGAAGGCTATATAGCCAGTTAAGGTGGTTTGAAACTTCCATCATCATCGATGAATTGTCTGTGGACTGACGTTGTGTCCAACCTTGAGAAGCCGTGTGCTCTTCCAAAATCTCCCTATGAGGTTAGTGCATCTGCCATATGCGTTCTTAAAACGGATAATTATTGCAGCCATTCAATGCTCCATTTCTCTACTTTTGGTCTACATGATACAAATTGTACTTATTGAATAAATTATATATTGTTTTCATTGTTTTTTTTTTTTTTAGTTTTTTTTTCTTTTATTTAGATAGCGCTATTACATTAGGCATCAATCGTCTTCTTATTTATCAGTTCACAAACTAGAACAAGCTGTGGTCCGCATCCCCTGCAGAATTGCTCCTTCTAAATACATGACTCCCAACCCCTCTTCTTTTTTGGCTATCAGTAAGGGGGTGGACAGGGAGCATTGATTCCCAGTTCCCTCCCCCAAACTTCTACTTCACTCCGTATTCTGTTCCTCTGCACACCTATTTTATCATCAACATGAATTATCCCTGTTTTAACAACCCTTTCCTCACGGTTAACACCACCCTGACTCCAGCTTTCATCTATCCAATTCCCATTTCCAGCCCTCTCATTCCATAGTTCCCATAATTCTGTCCACCCCCTTGTCAGTGTCACAATGACTCGCACCCATAAACAACCCATCATTTAGCCACAGAATATATTATACTACCTGATTTGTTTCCTATATGCAAAAATTACGAGTCAGGACTTTTTCTTTAATAATGGCCATTTTTTTTAACACATCTTGTTTTTAACTCCCATGCGTTTTTTTTACTGTCAACTATATATATGGCCTCACTGACGCATACAAGAACGATACAAAATATCTCTTCACAAATATGTTGTCAAAATAATAAAAATGTACTCTTTCAATAAATATTCTTGCAATATATTCATAGTCACTTTTAAAATTTTCTATAGAATAAATTGAAAAGGAATCAGACTTTCATACACTCAATTGAATTTTGAATGTTTCAATGTCTTAAATTGTCATTCTTGCCTATTTTTTTGATGGCGCCCTTATTACCCTATAATGAATCTTCTTTTTTTCAATAAAAGGAGCACCTGAGATCACCCCCAGTTTTTGGTAGGGTTTGTGTTGCTGTTGTATCCCTATTTGTGACATTTTAACCTATTGTGTCTGTATGTTTTGTTCACACATCGTTGTCAATATAATGGAATTTGATGCGACTGTCATACAAGTGAGAGGTTTAGCTAGCTTTAAAACCGGGTTAAATCCACCATTTTCGACAGAAGAAAATGCCTGTACCAAGTCAGAAATATGACAGTTGTTATCCATTCGTTTGATGTGTTTGAACTTTTGATTTTGCCATTTGATTAGAGACTTTCCGTTTTGAATTTTCCTCGGAGTTCAGTATTTTTGTGATTTTACTTTTTACCTCGGAAGGACAAGTAGATCCTGCTATAGATAGGATAAGATAGCAACCCAACAACACAACTAAACAATCAAATCGTGTAAGTACAAGTACCTAGAGTTGTTTATTCTTTGCTGTTGGTTCATGATATTCTGTCTTTATCTCCGGGGAAAATGTTGGCCTGATAGCCTTGGTTTTCAAATATATCTTCTTTCGTCTCAAAGACATCTATGCCGCCACTTCTACGTGCTAGTATATCGTTGTCTGATTTGTTCTCAAAGACGTCGATAACTTTTTTTGAAAATATATCGTTTGATTTCTTCTTGAAAATATTTTCCATCTTAGCCAAAACTCATTGAATACCTGAATTACAAGATACAAAAAATTAGGCTTTAATATTGAAAACATGGTCATCACATTTCGTCACAAATTTTTATTAAAGTTTTTGCCAATTTAAAAATGTACTTTTTCACAAATTCAATGAAAATGGATATTTTTTGTCTGTGATGGCCATTTTCTTTATGAAAAGAGGTTATCATAATACTTTCGAGTAGGGTAAACTTATATGAGACAGCAATCCAACGACAAAAATACCAAAAAGACATCTAGAGGCAAAATTATGACCAACCAATATTCAATTTCGCATGATTAATATATCTATCAACAACAATAAAAAAACGAACAATTGAGTGACAATAATAAAAAAAAACAAAAAAAACAAGACAAACAAAGGCCTAGGCACCTGACTTTGGACAGGCGCAAAAATGAGGCGGGGTCAATATTTTTTGTGAGATCTCAGCCCAATCACTTAAAGGGACTTGAATATCGAGAGTTTGGCTTCAAGGGGTGATGAAGGGCATTGAGAGAAAGGCCATAAAATCAAAGACTCCCGCGTTTTTGTTTTACCGTCCTCGTATGAATGGTTAACTGAATATAACAATAACATATAATTCACAAAAAAAGACCATGATTTTTATAAATTTCTAACGAGAGTTTTCATGGTTAAGGTAACGGTATAAGGAATATGTGTCGTCGAATAAGAGTAACGAACGACAATTATTCGATAGCAGTAAAGCAAGATTTTGACAAAATAAAAGATACACTTTCAAATTAAAACTTATGCAGACGTGTTTATAGTAAAACACATTCATTTTTTTTGGTTATAATTGATGTTTCACGTGACTTTAAAATTTAACTGCTCGCCATGTATTTACTAATGTCCGTTTTACGTTTTATTACGTCCTTTAAATCATTCAATTAAAAGTCCAACATTCAATTATTGAATTAGGAGAAAACTTTAAAAGCGAATCAAATTACTATAAGTAGTAATTGTCAAAATAATCCTAAATGAAACATATACTATTTAAAATGTTGACTGAAATTAAGTTAATCCGTCTCTTATGAACGATTACAGATCATTATTCTCGATTTTAATTCAAAATATATGTTTATGAATTTAGACATCCTCTTATGAGATTACATAATGACAAATAAAAATAATACTTAAGACTGTAAACGAGAAAATGTGTAAAATATCTAATTTACCTATATCAAATAAACTTACATTTGATGCTCATCTTAAATCTCAATACACACTATATAAAATATTTAAATTGAATTATTTCCTTTTGTTTTAATTGTAAAAGATGTTAAAGACGATAATCGGACAAACCCGTAGTTAAAACTAACATAACAGATATAAGATAAAAAGATAACATACATTTATAGTTAAATCATCTAACTGGTTTGATAATTGCATTGATTGCCATCGTGTCTATACGTTATCCCAATGTCCTTTGTTGCATATCCTGTGTGATGGAAAAGTCAGTATGACTTTATGTTTTTCTGTACGGTCTGACAAATTTTGTTTATACTAAACAACTAAAGAAACGCACACACTACTTTAATCTTTTTAGAGCGATCAATAATCGTCGTGTGAGTCTTACAATTACATAATAGTTATTGAAAAACTGGACATTATCGTGATATATGGACTGCCCCCAGGACAGTGGTATTGACTTAGGCAGTGATAATGACTGAGCCGTAGGCGGGGTCATTATCGCCGTCGCAGTCAATACCACTGTCCTACGGGCGGTCCATATATCACGATAATGACCAGTTCTTCAGTAACTATTATGTTTATTTCATTGAGGAACCATGTTTTTACAAATTCTCATAAATTCAAAATGTTCTAAGCAAACTCGAGTTATTGTACGATTTCTATAGCAACGAGTGAAGACCAGGCGTAGTAATACATGTAGCTATACGTCACTGCCATTCATTTAAGTGCAATTTTTCAGTATATGATTACTAAATAAAGTGTTCTATAATTTTATAATTTACAAAAATATATGGTAAACAATTCTACAACTTAAATACAAAATCGAAAACAGGAAAATGTTTTATCCAAATCTCTCTAAATAGAGAAACCACGCTCCACCGGTCATTAACAGAGAAACCACGCCTCACCGGTCATTAACAGAGAAACCACGCCCCACCGGTCATTAACATGTAAAAGTCCTTTAACGACCGGTTTTCTGGTCCGTTTTGTTCTGTTAATGACCGATGGAATTTATTACTGAAGAATAAAGAATGTCATGTGGCCCCTTTTATCCAATAAGAGAAGCTAATTCTTAACCGATATGAAATAAATATATTCATGTACGACAGGCATAGAATTTTCGAGTACAGGTAGCGGGCTAATTGTAATAACAATAGAGTAAAAAGTTCCGTTAGTATTTAAAGTCGTATGTGCACGAGAAAAGTTATCGACAAGGGTGGAGACCATCTAACGAGTACGTATTTGTGTATAGGAAGATGAATCTTCAGGGGCCAGTTTCACGAAGCTGTCTTAGGACTAAGACATGTCTTAGGATAGTCTTACGACATATCTTAGTCCTAAGTGGGTTTCACAAAGAGGTCCTAAATTAGGACTTCTCTTAAAGTTGGTCATAAAGTTAGGACTACACGAGAGGTGTCTTATGATGGTCTTAGGATAGTCATATGTTTATTTATATAAATTACACTTATTTTCTATATTAATTTTGTAAATTATCTAATTACTATCTAATTTCTTTTCTCCTTTTCCTGCTCACAACTTAATCTTTATTGGTTGAAGGATTGTCATAATTTGTCAACAATGAACATTCGATGTATTGGTTTCAAGAATGCACATTTTTATCCTTTAACCCTATTATAACCGAAACAGTGACAAATTGAATTCAACTCACTTGTACAAAAAAAATATAATTTTATTCCTTTTTCTCAATTTTGTATTTAAAGTTCATATGAATATAAGTATATTATCAATAGACTATTTTTATAAATTACACTTAATTATTTTTTATATTAATTTTGCAAACTATCAAATCAGCAATACGATTAATTAATTATGGGAAAGACATTCTACAATTACATGAATGTTTCCTTCAATCAATGTTACAGCCGATTGCATTGAGTGTGTAGGTAAAGGTAATATCTTTGGTTAGTTTGCTTGCTAGCTGAACCTTGAAGTCATTATTGGGTAAGGTATACTACCCTCCTTTCGAAGTATCCTAGTCTTACAGATAGATAGATTGGTTATCTGTCGGACTAGTCTACTCTTAAAGGAGGGTAGTTTACCTAACCTAATAATAACTTCACGGTTCAGCTAGCAACCAAGCTAACCAAAGATATTACCTTTATCTACACACTCAATGCAATCGGCTGTAATATTTTAAAATTTAAAGAACTTGCGACAGGTTTAGGATATCTTTGCTAAGATCATCATAAGACAGCTTTGAGACGAGGTCTGAGATATGTCCTAGGATAGTCATAGGAGGATCATAACAGTCCGGTATGCGGTTTAAATAGAACAAAAGAATTCGAACTCTTGTGTTTAGAAGGTAGAAAAGTGAAATAAACTTTGTATACGGTTGGCAAGATGTCACAAAAGTTACATTCCGTCAAAACATTATGAATATTTGCATTCACTTTGATCCATTTTCATATTATACAACTGTTAACAATGCAACTTGCTTACAATCGTTTTTAAAACGACCAGTAGTCCAGCTGTTACGTCAATTAGGGGGTCTCCTTATAAACTACTACTATTTTGTGCCCGACGTAGAAAAAAATCAGAGTTTTTACTTAAACAAGTACAATTACTCCAACAGTCATATTTTCTGTATTATATAAAAAGTTTTGTTACACATTGAGTTTCACCTAAGTTATGCGGTAACCCGGATTGGTTGAACATTTGTCAAGTTGAGTTCTTGGGTAGCATAGTCTTATAATACAAGACTTCGAAGGTTCATATCATTTACATTCAACTTTCTTTATCGTTTTTTTTTTACTAGCAATGTTAAACTTCGAATTAAACATTGATAGTAAAAACATATCCGATTTAAAAACGTTGAATGTAAATGATATGAACCTTCGAAGTCTTTGAGGTTCAACATTGATAGTAAAAAAGAAATCCGATAAAAAAACTTATATTATAGGACTAGGGGTAGCATAGATTTATATCGTTGTGTTCCTATTGTTTGCGTTAACCAATTGTACTTTCTGAATTTTTTTTGATACATCTAACAATGATCTTGTAATTTCTTGTAATTTAGTTTGCGTCTTATTTCTTTGGTGTCATGTTTTGGTTATGTTTGTGTTCAATCATACAATATTGAAAAGTCTTATTTGTGGATTGCAGTTTTATTTTTGTCATATGTTTCTATCGTACAAAGTTTTAAAATTCGACAGTTGCCCGCCGACTATGTAATCATGTTTTTTTCTTGTGAGGTGTTTTTGTCTTAAATTCAGTTGTTTCAGTGATTTCTTTTATGTTATATTTTCGTTATATTTTTTCTCGATCTTAATATAGCATCTTGATTATAATTGTCCGCCGACATGATGTCATATTTTTTTCTTTGATCGCGAATATTATTCATAAGATTTATTATGTATACCTTTTTTTTTTAAATAGTTTACCCACAGCCGAAAAGTCGTGAGACATTTAGAGTCGTGAATACGAGATCTTTACTAAGTTAATAGTTTTACATTAGACTCAATGTTATTATAGTTCTTCGCATAAGTACTTGCTTGTATTAAATAACTGTCATAATGTTAGTTGTGTGTTAGTTCTTCACAACTCAGAAAGTCAAACAGATTCAAGAATATTAAAGTTCGTTACATATAGACTCAATAATATTAGTTTTTACCTTATACGGTGGCTCACTGTAATTTCAGTTTTCTCATACATGCTCAATGTTACAACTAGTACACGAGTGTCTTCATATTTCACGTACTACACTTACGTATATATTACTCTAGTGTGTTTTCATATTTGTTTGAACTTTTTGGGTCATATTAAGAGCTAACAATGTCGATACTAGATCATACTAGTGCCCCATAGTTAGTGTTGTAATGGTAGGATTATTTAAATGATAATTTCAAAATTATCAAATTTCAAAATTGCATTTGTAGTTCATGAAGTCATCAACGAAAATCTTTCACGTATTAACCCAAATTATGGATGAATTTCAAATCTAAACACAAATGCCTACAGTGCGCGAAATGTTGCTCAACCAATTCTTGGCGATGGTACCATAACACATGCAAACCTCAGATTATCTCCAGTGGTTGAACAAAATGTTAAACTTGTATCTGCAATGCATGCAATATAAAAATGGCGAATTTATTTTCAGGAAAGCCGCCATATAAGAGACAAAAAAACAGACACTTGTCAGTTATGTGTAACATCGGACAACATATTAACCTTGAAATACATGATATATCCAAGTTTTTTTTTTAAAGTTAATCCCACCAAAGTTTTTCTTTGTAAAAAAAAGACAGTTCCTATTGTGGGATAATTTTATTTATAGAGATTGTTTCTCCTACATATCTTTATATATTGCTTTCCATAGTTCAAATTGGAATCTCAGATTAGCATCACTTAAAAGCCTCTCCCCTCTGTTCCATCCCTTTGATCGGCATATGTACTTGAGAATAATTCCAAGACATCTGACTGTCAGATATAGCAGAACTTCCACACAATGTTTTAACGTGCTTTCAAAATGGGGGCTTTTCAGTCAACTTATTTAAACAGGTAGGACATGTCAGCAGTTTGCACTAGACAAGGCTCACGAGTCTCTTATAAACCGTAATGTTAAGGAATCTGTTCGGAAACCATCTCCATAACTTCTTGATAAAATTACTGTCTATCTTGTCTATCTTCCTTTTCGAGCATTACTGCAAAAGAAATTTAAACAAGCAATTACGAATCAATTAAAGCTGGGGTTCCAACCACATGTTCCCCATATAACGGATCTGTACACAAGCCACTGGATTTATACATTAGATGCATCACAAGATATATACATGTCATGATATATATATATATATATATGAATCAAAGATAAACATAAATCGAAAATGTTGCATTATAATTAATGACTACGAAACAACAAGATCTTACTTAATTGCACAAGTTTTCAAATCATATCAAATGTTTCATTGGTCTTTACTTGTTGGAAAAATGTACTGGATTCTTTGTTAGCTAAATTATCAATGTTAGGTTATTGCATATTCTTTAGAGCTGTCTGTTTAAATAATGAATTAAAAAAGGGGGATGGATAGACATACTTAACATTTGGCTATATTTTCAACATATCTAACGAATATGTGAGAAAAAT